CTAAAGCTAAGCACTTTAATTTTGTGCTCATGGCCTGGCAATTCAGGTTATATGCCTCCTCTCCCCTGGAGGTTTATTCACATTCGTTTTTAAGCTACTTTGGGAGACATCTCTCGAAGCTTCACACCAGATACATCAAAGTGACATATTGGAAGAAAAGCGGGCAAAACAGTGTCTGGGGTCTAACTGCTAATTCTGCACCCCCTCTCCATCCACTACCCACTCCTGTCAAATACTTCCATTCTTTCACAGAAGAAATAAGCAAATTCTCCTTTTTGAAAAAGATCTTGAAAAGGAAAGAGAAGATTTATAATCTGCATTTTAGGAGCATGATGCGGCAGAAGCAACTTCCGTCAGTTTTGAAAAGTAAACGAAGAATTTCTCCCCCATAATTTTAAAACCAAAAAGAATAATAATAATGATGATGACACTTGAGTATCAATGGATTATTTATACTCATTTTTTTAACTCAATTTTAATGTCTATTTTTAAAATACGAAAAATCCAGGTATCTTTATTTTGTTATGTTTGGTTTTAGTATCTGCTTTTATCTCATTTCACTCATTTTATTTCAACAAATATGTTTGGGTGTTTATTATGTCATAGTCACTGTTCTAGACAATGGAGATATAGCAAACAATAAAACAGACAAATATCACTGTCTTCTTTGAGCTTACGTTCTAGTACAATGGGGAAACAGAATAAAAGAGGACAAAAAAGTAGATATAGCATTGAGAGGGTGATGAATGCTGTAAAGAAAAACAGAGGAAGAGAGAGTATAGGAAGTCACAGAGATGCTACAGTTTAGATAGTGTGGCTAGTGAAAGCCTGGTATTTGAATAAAGATCTGAAGAATGGAGGAACAGGTCATGTGGGTATCTAGTAGAAGACTATTTCAGACAGAGAGAAAAGCAAGTGCAAAGACACAGAGCCAGGTGCAAAGAAGATAGTATAGCTGGATAGAATCCTGAGGATAAGAGAAAGGATAGTCAGAACATGAGGTCAGGAATATAACCTGGGCCCCATTACTGTAGAGACCATTACAAGAACTTGGGCTTGACTTAGGAATATTACTCAGCCATAAAAAAAAAAAAAAAAAGAATGAAATCTTGCCAAGTGTGACAGCATGGATGGACCTAGAAGGTATTATGCTAAGTGAAATAAGTCAGAGAAAAACAAATGCCATATGATTTCACTTATATATGGAATCTAAAAAGCAAACAAAATAAACAAAACAAAAACAATCTCATAGACACAGAGAAAATTTTGATGGTTGCCTGATAGGAAGGGGTTGGGGGAATGGGTGAAAAAGAGGAAAAGAGTAATATGTACAAATTGCCAGATATAAAAACAGTCACAGGGATGCAAAGTACAGCATAGGGAGTATAGTCACTAATATCGTAATAACTTCATATGGTGTCACATGGGACTAGACTTACCACAGTGAACACTTCTTAAGTTATATAATTGTTCAATCACTGTGTTGTACACCTGAAACTAACATAATATTGTATGTCAACTGTAATTGAAAAATTAAACATTTAAATAAATAATAAAAAAGAGAGTGTATTGTCCTGGAAGGCAAGTGAAGAAAGTGATTTAAAGAGGGGCGATCTACTGTGTCCTAAAGCCAAACCAGAAGAGAGACTTTGGGTTTATCAATCTTCAGATTGTTTTTTACCTTGATAAGAGCAGTTTCAGTGGAGTAAAGCAGTGAGAGCCTGACTAGAGTGGCCTCAGTAAAAAAAAAAAAAAAAAAAAAAGAGGCGAGAGATTGGAAACTGCTCTGTGCACAGCTCTTTCAAATTGTACTTTAGAGGGAAGGTAGGAAATGGAGTGGTACCTGTAGGGGTAAGTGAGTCCTGAGAAGGCTGTTTTGTTTTTGTTTGGGGTGAGAGAATGAATAGCATATTGTAGACTGATCTTTCTGTGCCTATCTGGGGATCAGATACCTAATTATTGGTAGCAATCAGTGGGGACAGGAGTTTTGGTTGGAATTAAAGGCTGTGAGAACAGATCATTTTGCATGATGGGGTCTTTAGAAAATGTCACTGTTGCTCTGGGTGACATGAGAATACTGGCATCACAGAAGGAGAACAGAAGGGGCACCAGAAGACAGATAGGGCAACAGATGAGGAAGGCGTCCAAATCAAATATTGCCCATTTGCATTTTGCATAGAGTTTAGGTTACTCGCAGTCCCCTAAGGGGTCAGTGGAAGTTTAGCCTAGATGAAACCCTAACAACTAATAGAATTTCTTCTTTCACATGCAACGCATCTCTGTGGGAGAGATCATTTTGAATGGGTTTTAAGGCAGGGCAGGGAGACAGACCATTGTCATACTCTGGACACGAAATCAGCATGCCTTCTGCTGAGGGACTAGAACAGTGGTTTATGTTAATTAACATATCTCTGTCACACCGTCTGCTAGGGACTCTGTCACCCAGTAATGTAGGTGTTCTGATGAATCAAGTTATCTAGCTAACAAGCACCTATAACATATGGTTTAAATTAATTATCAATGTTGGAACAAGTGTAAGTCTGTGTGTATTGTACATGTGGAGATGAAGGCTAGTTAGAAAGTCTCATCGGCCAATACCTGTCGTGCCAGTGACTTTAGACACCACAGATTCAGGGACTGATCCTCTTCCTTCCAGGTTTAGAGACTTTATTTCATCTATTCAGGTCTTCACCCATATATTCAGAGTGGGCTATGCAGGGATAATTCCTGTCAATCATGGGGTTGGGAGACAGGTTAAGCCAGTAACTGAAGAGATCATGAGAGTTGGGTGGCCTCTAGATCTCACGGTCATCATTTGAGAAGAGTCATGTATTGCCTGTATCTCCAAAGAGCAGAGTTCACATTCTTTAGGACATAACATCCTCATGGACAGCTATAGATATTTCTTCTTCTATATAGAATGTAGCTTTTCTTCTTCCAGTTTTCTTTTTTGAATGTAGCTTTTCTTCTTCCAATGTAGCTTTTCTTCTTCTAGTTTTCTTTTTTGTAAAATGGTTACAGTGTAGTCAAATACACTGGATTGGAAATTAAAATTAGGTTAGATTCTAGTACCAAATGCTTTTTAGGTGTTTCTCTGGGAAAAACAATCTCCAAACTACTCCGTTCTCCCATTTAATAAATCAATATAATATTGTTACCACATACTTATAAATGTGTGTGGATATAATAGTATGACAAACAGTAAAGTATCTTAAGAAGAACATGTTATGTAACAGCCATAGATAATGATTTATCTGAGTTATCAATTTTAAGATCTTGTATTATCCTTTGGATTAGTATTTTTTCTTTGCCCCAATATTTAAGGCACATAAAATATACTGAGTTAAGGATGTAGTAACTGGAAAAAGTAAGGAATTCTCTTAACTTATACAAAACTATTCATAGTATCAGTAAAATAAGCCATTTTGCTTAGGTGATTGGTATATTAAAATAAATGTCACCAGTATGTGAAGTTGAAATTGTAATTATGTCACAGAAATAGTGATGAAAATAACACTTCCACCACATTTTAAAAATTGATTTTATTTTCCTTTACAAGATTTAAAGTATTAAACTCATCACTTTGGCCAGATAATTAGAAAAATATAGTTCTACTGATGATTTTTATACTAGAATTATATTTCATTATTAATCCATTTAAGTCTTCTCTCAAATCAGTTTATCAGTGCTGCCAATTAAAAATAGAAAACATATGTGCTCCATTTTAAGAATTAAAAATAATGCCTTGGGAATAGCATCTCTTTTCTGTGGTGAGAGGATTGTTGGATTTTCCAATTAAACAAGTCTCCATACTGGAAATGAGTAGTCAATTATGAACATTATTTTTGAATAGCCAATTTGCATATCCCTAATTATATTCATTTCTTTTGAAACACTGAACTTGGAGTTTATGATGTTTTCATTGATTACCTTGGTGCGTGTGTCATTAATACTGTTGCCAGCAAGGTGCCCCTATGAATGAGGCTTCGAGTGTTATCCTGAATAAACGATTGAATTATAAATAGGTTTGTTTTATTTAATGAATGAAAAATACAGAGATTTACTAGCAGTTTTCAGATTTACACATACAGCACTTTAATGGGTTGACAGTAGCATCCTTGCAATGCCAGCTGCACTCACATTTGGACTTTTCCTTATCAGTGATAAGGGGCATTTGAGGTTCCTTGATGGTGGCGCTGTCCGCTAGCCAAATATGCAGCTTAGCCGGGCTGCCTTCACTCTTTATACAGCAGTGTTTGCACAATTAATGGAATATTTTTTGATATTTTGCCCTAATTTTATGAAAAATGACTTGGAAACAGATAATCAAACATTTTATATTAGTGACAAGAAGCATAGTTTTCACATGTAAGAAAATTGAGATGAAGTTGGAAATAATTCGGTGAAAAGTGCTGATGTTTATTCTCATTGGACTTGGCATTCATTGGACTTAAACCAGTCAACAGAGTCAATAATGAAGGAAAAGAACAAAATTAAAGGCATTTTTGTATAAAAATGGGTTATCTCTGCGTACAGGATAAACACACATTCTGTGTAAATATACACTGCGTGTTTATCAATTTATGATGATTGTGTCTAAAAGGAAAGGTATAATTCTGGGTTTCCTAATGTCTGTTGTTTCACTTCTGCATATTCAACTTTTATTTTGGGGAACACTTTTGAAAGAGATACTGAAGTCTTTTTAGGCATATTAGAAAAGGTGGTGAGGGGAGGAGGCAGCCATTTCATTCCTTCAAGAGAGTTAACCAAAACTGATTATCTGTTTCAGGAATAAACAAACAAACCATTCACTATTTCCTGGCCATGGTGCTTTTAGATGTAATATTGATTTAAGAGTTGTGGGTACAGTAATATTAAAGTTTTAAATTTTCAGAGGCCATTTTCTTTAAAATCAAATAAAGATCACCATCAGCTAGATACAGTATCTGGATGATATGCATGCCCTACGAAGTAATTAGTGTTGTTGGATTTGTTTGTAGCTGATTGCTGTGTTTGACGAACAAGAACCACTCCACAAGATTGAGAGCCCCAGTGGAAACCCGGCAAGTCGGCAGAGCCCAGACGCTTTTGAGACAGAAGTGGCTGCCCAACTGGCTGCGTTTAAACCAATTGGTGGGGAAATTGAAGTAACCCCTTCTGCTCTGAAATTAGGTATGTGTATTTTTTGTGGTATGTTTTTCACCTGGTTAATATACATCACCTTGCTGACTATGAGTTGCTTCTACTTTATGACTTATCCTGTACCTTCCTTTAAAAAAAAAAAAAAACTGGTTTATCTTTTTCTAAATTATTTTTTATGTAGCTCTTTGTAGCTATTGTTGCTCAGGCAAGTGGATGCAGGTTTTTGTTTTTGTTTTTGTTTTTTTCCTTGAATTACACATGAATCTGAATCTGAGTTGTGTGCCCCTGAGCTATCACAGGGAAGGATTTGGACTGTAAGTCCCTGAAAAAGTTGTTTGGAAAAAGCTAAGGGTGATCAAAGAACTAAGATTAGAAATAAAGGTCACTTCCTGTTTTAGCCACCTTTTTCCCCTTAGACTACATATCTTAGAGTTTGGGGAAACCATTCTAATGTTAGTTTCTAATTCTGTTCTACGGATTTATTCAAACAAGAACAACTCACTCAGTAATTTTACTCAGAATTATTTTTTGCTACATTTGTTTTGAAGGTGTGGGTAGAAAGAGAAAATAAACATTCTTCTAAAGTTTCAGTGAATTTACAACTCTAAGAGAAATAATATGTTAGGTTTTGGTGACACCTTTGAGATAAATTTAGGTCAGTTTAACAGCATGAAGTTTTTGAAAAATAGTATTTTGGTACTTAAAATAATTTTTTTATTCCTGTTGAATGTATGCATACATTTTGAGACAGCTCTAAGCACCTGTTATAGGTTAATTCTCAAGCTAGAAGAATAGAGGTGTTTTCCACTTTGCAAAGGGCACCTTATTCTTTTTAAAGCAAAACATATGCTTAAAATTGTAAAAACTACACATAGTACTAGTTTTTTTCCCATTTGAAACAAAATATATATTGTCAATTTTATTTTATATACCACAATACTGAATATTCATATTTTGCACTAATTTTATGGAAAGCATCTGTAGTAACCCTTTTAGGATAAACCAAGTGGAAATTAATGACCTACAGTCTTTATGATTTTCCTCTGTCTTTTGGAAAGCGAGCTACTGAAGCAGTCTGCTGGAACGCGGACATTGAGGGGCTTTGTGGCAGCTTTTCTTCATCTGGAGGGAGGCTTGTGGCTTCAACAACCTCACAGCCCTATCATTCATTTGCATAATGGATGCCTTTTTATCCATTATGCAAATGGTTGGGAGGAAAATTAGGCAATAAGGGAAGACGAAAGGAGAAAATTGTTCTTGCTTGTTTTAATATTCTATTTATAAGCAAGCACTGTGGTCTTCAAAATGCTGAACCTCAGAGTACCCCTGTGCCTGGGAACTCGTTTTGACTTTCTTTTTTTCTCTTAACGAGCTTTTTCAGGGAAAAATGTTTGTTTTTCTTCAGTTTTTTTTCAGTTTGTTTTCTCGAACCATCTAAGCAATATAACATTAAATGCAGGAAGAAAAGTAAGCTGAGATTTCTCTTCTTTTAAAGTGGACTTTCTATTTCTGCAATACTGATTTTCTGGTAAGACAGAGATAGAAAATAATATTTATTAAATGGTGAGCACACTCCAGCACTGAGCTCAAGGCACCAAGCATTCTAAATCCTTTACTCATAACAACTGATTTAAACCTCATAATACTTCATTGGGTTCTATTATTCCTCTCATTTAAGAGATAAGAAGACAAGCACAGAGCAAGACCAGGATTCGAACCCTTGCTGGCTCCAATTTTGCTATGCACCTCATTTTGGGTGATTTACTTTGCGATTATATATCAAAATCCTGCTAATGCTTAACTTTTCGGTTTCAAGTCCCATTTCCCCTACTACTCCAGATTAAATGATGAGATTAGCTAACCTTTACTATTAGGTGGTCAGTATTGCCTTCCAGTTATTTGGTCTGACACCATGGCATCATCTCTAGTTCCTCCTTTTTCTTCCCACCATCCCCACTTTCTTCAGCCTTCATGTCCATGATCATTGCAGCAGGCCTGAGCCTTATCATCAGTCAGATTCTTGTAGAGGCCTCAGACCAACCTTTCTTTACAGTGCTGCTTTCTTCAATCCCTGCTTCTGCCAGAACCACCTTTCTAAATCACAAATTTGATTACATAACTCCCCTGTTTAACAACTTCCAATGGTTTCCTATTGCATGGAGAACCGTATCCAAACTCGTTAGCAAGCTGATGCAGATGGTTCCTCAGAATTAGCTGAAAGAATTTGGGCAGGGATGAATGATGACAAAATCAATCCTTGTCCACCCTCATGGTACCATCCGATTGAGTACTTGTCATATCTGGAACTTTAAAAGCAAAGAACAAAAAACATATGTATCGAGTTTCTCAGAGAAATTAAAGAAGGAAGCAACACAATCAGCTTGGGTTTCTGTCCATTCCGTTTCCTTTCTGCTGCCTTTGGGGCTGGGTGTAGTCACAGGTTGGGCATGTGTCTGTCATCTCAGGGTGGAGGGACATGCATGGCAGCAGATACAAGTTTTATGGCTCTCCCAGGAGTGTCACCCGGTTGTTGTGCGGTCAGCCCACCGAGATCCTGTTCAGATGAAGAGTGGGAAAGGGTGGTTAGAGGACAAGTAGCATTAGTGTTTCCAGCGATTCATAACGGTGTGCATATAAAATGCCAGACAGGGAGCCCCAGCCCTTGATCTTGGCTCCCCACTCAGCTCTTCAAGGCCATTGAAACTGGTCCTACTTCTTATGGGACTCATTCCCCTCGGCTGGTACAGCAGAAACGAGTGCTTATTCTCACTGTTGTTGTTGTTGTTGTTGTTGTTGTTCTTGAGATCCATTCAAGAAGGTGAGGAATTTAATCTTTATTAGTTCTCCTGCTTATCTCAGACATAATTTAACAAATATTAGGGATCGATACATTTTTATGATTAGGTCATTTTAATCATTAAAAATTTGTCTTACTGTTATCTGAGAGAAAATATAGTCAAAGTTCAGTGTAATTTTTATATCTCTTTTCCAACACAAGATAATCATCATCGGTATTCTGTTAAAAACCAACATGCATGCAGACGCAGGATGGCCTCTCCTGTTCTTTTTTTTAATCTTCCAAGATGAAATATTTATGCACAGAATGTGCAGAAAGTTTACATTCACAGGCTCTTCATGATCTAGCTACTTCCTCTTTGCCCACTTTTATTACTGGCCATTCTTCTACAGTACCTTTAACACGAAGCCACCGTGAACCATTGCTATTCCCCCAAATTGCTACTTCCTTTCAAACCTCTGTACCTCTGAAACAGTAGGTACTGTTTCCTTTACCTGGCTCATCCCTTTGCCTACTTGATAAACTCGTATGCACCTTTTAAGGTCAAGCTCAAATATGTCGTTTATGATGCCTTGTCCACAACTTCAAGATGTTATGATAGGTGTACGATAAATATATGTCTTAATTCTTTATTCAACAATACAGGGTTACAAAGATGCATCAGAGAAATCTACTGACCTAAAAGGGTTTATAGTCTTATACCATATAAGCTAATGAGGTATATATTTTTAATTTGAAGAAGAGTTTTAAATCAAGCGGGCAACCACATAATTTCAATGGCATTCATCTAAATTATTTCCTACCATTTATTTTCTAATAGATTGTCTAATGTAATGCTAAATGATTAAGTCCTGACTCAGCCCTAACTAGCAAGTCATCCTGACACCTTAAGATTCTGTGTTTCTGAAATTGGTTAATGTTTTTTACTATGTAGCCTGGAGGTTTCTAACAAGTCAATTTAAAAGAAGAGACATGGTGGGACAAACACCAGGTAGAATAGCAAAGAATCATATTCATAGAGTACATTTGGACTTTAAAATCACCTAGTTCAAGAGTTTTCTAAGTCTTTGTGGAACCCTATGGTATTTCTTAACATGTTTTGGAATTTCAACATATATTTGGTTCTGGTTACTTAACTAATAACATTTATTCAGCATTTAAATTCTAGAAACTCTTCTAATTCATTCACGATCACTTGTACAAATGGAGTTAGTTATGCTAACAGGGAAGAAAGGGATGAGAAGGCTGTGGAGCAGGCAACGGAATCCAAACACTTTTGAGAATTCATACAGCAGAGAAACCCATGTCCACCAAAAAAAATTGTTAGCACCCCTTAGAATAACTTTTCTGAAATGCCGATCTAGAAATAGGGTTCTATAAAATTCCATAATTGTTTAGACATTTTTTAACAAAAGAGCAAATAAAAGCTTAGAGAATATGCTCTAATATCAAATAACTAGCTGGTTAAAGAACTGGATTGGAACCTGCATCTCTTGGCTTCTAGTACAGTGCTTTATCAACTACATGGCATTTTTTGAATTAATTATAGATTTCAGTTAGCCATGTCTTTTAATACTATATGTGATAAAATAGTACCTCATATCCTTTGGAATTGAGATAGAGTGTAAATTAATAAGCAGATACTATGAATAGCTGTAAGTCAAAAGCTAATAAGAAAATAAAGATCAGAAAATTAAGATGGAGAAAATTTCTTTTAAATTCTTTAAGTTTCAGAAATGGAATTGCTCTTGTCTTATCTTGTGTGTGTTCATACACATCTGTGTGTTTGGGGAGAAATGGCACCAAAACTGTTTATGTTAGTGGGATTCCTAGGTGATTTTTTTTTTAATATCGTGGAGTTGTTGTACTGTTTTTGACATTTCAAGTAACTGCAGGTAGGGCCTCTGTAAATAGGACAAATTAGTGAGGACAATTATTTTGAAGTTCGGAATAATGAGTCCTTTAACCTTTCCCACACTAGCTCCTATGCTGCCTTTGTGATCAGTGGCATCTGAGCTTCTGCTGTTCTCCAAAAGACCTCATGAGGCCATAGCCCAAGGTTGGTCCAATCCTCGTCCCTTGAGAACCAATGATATGGAGCTGGTCCCAGATCCTACAGTATTTTATCCAGACAAGTAATTTAGCCTATATCTATCAGAACCACGTTTTTCCAAATGAAATATAAAGTGGGACACATTTGGCATTTCATAGAAGTGAATAATCATAACTGAGA